TACTTCCAAACTTTCTGTAAAGGAAGGGAAGCAAAGCGAAAAAGTGCTAGCCTCTCTTCCTCCTTCCCGTTCGATCTCATTTCCCTCAAAATATGCAAACTTCCACTTCGATACGATATTTACAGTTTTGTAAGATCTCCGCAAAACAGTTAATTACAAATTTTTAAGATCATTTTTACTAAAGATCCCGGTGGGGATCCATCAGGCGATGTTTTTACGAATATCTTACCGTCCAAGGACCAACAGCTAAGACGTAAACCGTCTCTCCGCATCTTGTTTGCTTGACCCATGACAGTGTCTGTGACCTGTGAGGTTTTCATTAATAAAGATGAGATCTTTAAACTCTGGAATGGATACAGGGCATCTTGGAAATACACTTGACATTTTCACTGTCTTGAGCCTTGTTCTTGCTTTATATAGTTTGGTGTTAACTTTGTGCCTTGCAAACTTAACGATAATTGCGGTATTGCTGCTTCTTCTTTTAAGATGATGCGATATGTCTATATCATCATTTGATGAAATGTCAACATCTAACGCATTGGCGATTGCGAGGACTGCCTCTTCCGTGGAGCTGTACGCTTCTTTTGGGACACCATGGATTTCCAAGCTGTTTTTTCTTGTATATTGTTCTAAGCTATCAAGGTTATCCCATAAGTTGTATATTTCGTCGTCTTGTTTATTAATCTTAACTTTTGCCGCGTTGATTTCCAGTTCCAAAGCCTTGTTTCGTTCACATGTTTTCGACAACGATTCTTGTAAACTCTGCACCTCGCGGTCTTTCGATTTCAAAGATGCTCTAAGTTCTTTCAATTCGTCTCTGAGTTGACCATTTTCATGTAAGATTCTTGCAATGGTATCTTGGATGTTGTCTAGAATTCCCTTTACATCTTCGAGACTCGTGTTGCTCGATTCTCAGACCGTTCTCTCAGTTTCCAATTGTAAGGACGCCATAACCTGGTTGTCTGTCGATTTGACAAGTTTTGCACGTGGTTCCAGTGTCTCTGGTGAGCTGCTTTTACACTCTTTTACACTCAACTTGACTTCCACTGAACTTACCCATTCCGGGATATCCCACAAGTATAGTAAATATGTTTAGTGGTTCCTTGTGTGTAGTGATGTTAACTTGAGCGTTGTTGGATGCCAGTATGAATCCTGTAGTTGTTAGCAACAAAGGAATAAAATATCCTTCGCAGCTTCCAACAGAGACGGCCTTATTCTTTACAAATTGGTAAATGTCTGGGTTGGGAAATAGCTTCTGGTATGGGAATGCACTGAATTCAGCCGTTTCTGAAGGTTGATCCATGTCTGTTCGTGCTGTTTGTTGAGTTTGATACAGTGTACATTTTGATGTTGACGGCCAGAACGATTATTATCGAGTGAAATTAGCCTGGACTGAGCAGGGAATAGCCCTTACGGAGAAGTCTTGGTGCTAGTTACAAGTTCTACCAATGAGAGGAAGACGTGGCATTTTGTTGAAAATTTGGCCAATTGGAGAAAAGGCGGGTCTTTAATTCAGGCCTCCTTTGTATGTGAACTTCATAAAATTGTATTGTTTTGAAATAAGTTCTTGTGCACCAATTACAATGTAATTGACTGCCCTATTAAAATGCACGTAATAGAGGTGTGATATGAATGACCAAAACTGAGATGTGATGCATGCCAATTTCAATGAAGGCAACAAATTCGTGTGTAGATTGGTAGTGCCGAGCGGGATTTTTTCATTGAGAGGAGATTTTAACTTGAATGGACGGCGTACTTTATGAAACCTATTAAAAACCGTGTTACCATATTCAGTGAAATCTGCTTTTTGAAAGGTGACATGGATTTATTTTGTGTGATTTATAATCGACAATTCTCATAGAGTAAAAGGTCTGCGATAAGTGGAACTTATATTTTTTGCATAATAAACATTGAAGTATGAATGATAAAGGAATACAAGTTGCAATGAAATCAAAACGTGGAAAATCCAGTGCTGATGGTCAAACAACAACATTGGACACTCCAAAAGAGGAACGTGCGAGGCAATGTGGAATGTCTTTTACAGGGAGCTATGGTTGCAACTGCAAACACAAGAAGTGGCGATACGACAACTTGGTAGCATGAATGCAGGACAAAGAAATGTTGGTACACTGGTTAATGGATGAAGGGCTAATGGCAAAAGAACGTTTGTGTCCGATGTGTGCTGGAGAAATGAGTTTGACGCGGTGCGAGGATCGATCGGATGGTTTGAAGTGGGAATGCAGAAAGCAAGTTAACGGTAAAAGACAAGGCAGAGGTATCGATTAGGAAAGGAAGCTGGTTCGAGAAGAGCAGGATGACCTTGGAAGAAATTTTGAAGTTGACATATTGGTGGTGCCAGGATCTTGATCAGGCGCAAATAAAACACGAACCAGGACTTGCTGAAAGCACTGGGATGGACTGGGACAGCTTCTGTCGCGAAGTTTGCGAAATCACTCTACTAGAAAAAAGCGAAAAACTCGGTGGAAAAGGAAAACTCGCACAGATCAATGAAAGTAAATTTTGCAAGAGGAAATACCACCGAGGTCATCACATTGGAGGCCAGTGGGTCTTTGGAGGAACCGAGGAAGACAGCAGGAAATGTTTTCTGGTGGCAGTGGAAGAATGGAACGAACAAACACTGCCTATCATCCAAAAATGGATTGAACCTGGAACTATTATTGTTTCTGACTGCTGGAAAGTGTACTCCAAACTTGAGACACATGGTTATGAACACTGAACAGTTAATCAGTCAGTAGAATTTGTCAACAAAGACGGTGACCATATCAATAAAATCGAAGGTCATTGGAGGCATGCAAAGGGTAAACTACTAGCCTGCGTAGCAGGCGCATAAAGGGGAGGGGGTGGGGAGGAGGAAGAGAATTCGGGGAAAAAACAGAGGAGTGGGGGGAGGGGAAAAAGGAACACCTGCTATAAAGACTCCTGTTGATTCATTTCTGCGGTCGTTGGCGGCTGCAAAATTCCGATTGGTTAATCGGACAATTGGACGGGTTTGTGAAGTAATGCGGAAACAACCAAAATGGCGGCCGAAGTGGATGTGCTAGCAAGAGCTTTGGCTGATTTGAACGTTGTCGCTCGTAGTGAAATCAAGTTAAAACCAGAGCAAGAAGTTGCAGTAAAATTTCTTCTAGATGGAAAAGATGTATTAACGGTGTTGCCCACAGGATACAGCAAAAGCCTCATATTTCATATGTTTGTTCGCGCCAAGGACTGTGTAAAATGGGGTTGACTAGCCTACACGACTTCTACGGTTCGTGGCATTTGTACATTTGCCGTTCTCTGTTCGGTCACTCGACCTTTTTTTCTGTAGCTTCACTCGTGTTTATGAAGGGCAGTTCGTGTTGTGCAATAAGAAGAAATTTTAAGTAGAGTTGAGCCGTTAGATCGTGCTATGGCAAATTTTATAGGTCATAGGTCTGCATGGTTTCCGCTAATGTCTGGTGTCGCTTCATAGAGTTTGACACCTCTTTAATTTGCCACGTGCTCATGCATTGTTTAGGCTCATTTCTATAGCAAGATATGCTTTTAAGTCTCCACCAATTTTCTTTTGAGGGACAAAATATGAAATTTACTGTGAACATGTTGCTCACTTGCATTCTATATCAAGACGCCTGGCCCGGCTGTGATTAGAACTGTTTCCAAGTACAGTAGGTAGATCCTTATCACGGATATCATATTTGTTCTCGTACTATTTTCTTCGGAGACGCTGTAGCTTTACTTCGAGAAAGCTATACATCGAGTTGCGCTAATGACAACTACAGACGTACAGAGCATTCTAGAAATACCGGCAACTGATGAGATCCACATGGAGGATCGAAACCATGGTCTTGCCTGAACTAAGTCAAGCAATG